GAACGAGAAAGAGATCCTGATGTAGTCAAACTGTAGATTTACTGGAGTGAGGCAGAGAGCTGGAAAGACTGAAGGCTATCGTCAAAATACATGATGCTGCCACAGCCTGTATTACTGCTTTCACCTAAGAAATATTCACTAGGTTTGCTGACTGCTAGGCAAACTATTAGTACTTTAAAGCATACCAAGAAGTACGACTATATTTAGTAAGAAACCTCCAAAATGAATCCTCTTGCGCCTTGTCAATTTTAATTTAGCATAAACTCTTATATCACACCCAGAGTAATGCTTCCAACAGTAACTCCCTGGATCTTCTATTTACTGTCACTTATCCTATGAGTTCATCAGGCAAGCTCAGAGGATCTTAAAAAGAATCTTGCTTAAATGTAATTTTTATCCTACTTGTCCTAATAGATGCTATGAGAATATACAAATCAGCTGATGATATCCTTTAGTTTTGATGCGTGTTGTTTCTGTGGGGGATTTTGGTCTGTTTTTGCTTTCATTACTATGGACTGAAGCCAAGACCCTTAGCACTGAGCTACATCCTCAGCCCTTTTATCGTATTTTGAGACAGGTTCTTGCTAAGCGACTAAGTTGTCCAGGCTGGGCTCTAACTTTCAATCCTTGTCCCTCAGACTCACAAAGTGCTAGGGTTACAGGAGTGTTCCACCATGCCCAGTTTGTCTTTTGTTTTTTGCAGTTCTAGGGATGCAACCTAGGGTCTCATGGATGCTAAGCAAGCACACCACTGAGCTTCACTCCCAGCTTGATGATGTCCTTTGAAGCACAAGCTCACCATTAGCCCTACATGCTGTTAAGTCTCAATGAGAGACTCTTGACTCCCCGCTAGGGGTGGGGAGCTTAAAAGAGGTCCAACCGGGCCCAGAGATTTAGCTCAGTGGTTTTGCTGTCTGCCTTGCAAGCGCAAGGTCCCAAGTTCGATCTCCAGTACCAAAAAAACAAAAAAAAAGAGCTCCAACAATGCAAGAGTACAAGCATAAAAGCCTCACCTTTGCAAGCCAGCAATGGCCTTTATGCAAGCTGGAACTACAAAGCGTCCCTACTAAAGCATGACAACTTCCAGAAGCACCAAATGTCCAGGAGAAAAAAAATCAAATACATGACTACACTGAATGTTTGATCTTTTGATTTTTGGTCACTTCAGGTTGTCTTCTTCAAAACTTATAATTAGGGCCGGGGATTTAGCTCAGTGGTTTCGCCGCCTGCTGCCCAAGAGCAAGGACCAGAGTTCGATCCCCGGTACCCAAAAAAACAAAAAAACCTTATATTAAATACAAAAGAAATACAAAGAGGGCTGGGGATTTAGTTCAGTGGTGCCACTGGCTGCCTTGCACGCGCAAGGTCCTGAGTTCGATCCCCAGTACCAAAAAAAGGAAAAAAAAAGAAAGAAAAAGAAATACCAAGTGATTACTTCCAAATAGTACAAAGCAATTAGCAGATTTCTATTTAGTCTATCTTTACAGAATATCAATGTGAATTTCTCTTAATTTCTAATCCAGTGATCTAACAGTTATCAAGTATTACCAGGTATACATGGCAGCACTGAGCTAAGTGACATAAGAGAACACAAAAGAATAAAAATTGTTTTTAAAAATTCAGTTTCAGCTCAGGACAAAACAGCTAAGGAAGATTTCATAAAGAAGACAGAATTTAAGATATTTCAAAATCTTAAAGATGTAGGGCTGGAGATTTAGCTCAATGGTGACAGGCCTGCCTCACAAGTGCAAGGTCCTGAGTTCAATCTCTGGTACCGAAGATGGGTAAGACATATTATAAAAGAATTGCATTATTCTCCCAGTTTCCCAAGCCAAACACATGGAGTTATTCCTAACTCTTCTTCATCCACACACATTGGCCAGTGCTGCCTCACCTATCTTACAAACTACTCACTTCTCTCATCCCCACTGACTATTTTAGTTCTGGCCAGCATTACTCTAACTAACCTAGTTCTGACTAACCTACGTTCTTGTAAGTCTCTTAATTGGTCATCTATATTACTTAAATCCATTTTCCAATTGTCCAAGTGATCTAAAATGTAAATCATATCATTTGATAGTTCCTCTCCCTGAAAATCTTTCATATCTCACTTTCAGGGGAAAAAAACCCCGAAACATCTCCAGTGTTAACAGGACATATGCCTTGATGACCTTCACTCGTCTATTCCTGCACCTCCACTTCACACTAAGTCACTATTCTCTGTCTGTGGGCTATCTACAATGTCTTTCCTCCCATTTGTTGCCTAATTCCTCTCTGTATCAATACCCATCCTCACTACTTTTTCTTTGAAAATTTCAAACCAACAAAACAATTAATAAGATAATACAATGAACACAGGCTTTTTGTGTAATTCATCAGTTTTACCTTTTTTACCAATTTACATCATGACACAATCCCTACAACTTGAGCAAATATCCTTCAGAACAAGAACATCCCCTAAACAATCAAACAATACCATTATCACACCTGAAGTATTTAAAACTGTTACAATACCACCTAATATGTAGCCCTTATTCAAAATTTCCCAAGTATCCCAAAAAGTCTCTTACAGTTTGTTTACCTACTCCTTTGTTTAATCCAGGAACAAACAAAGGATCATATACTGCACATTGCCCCCTTATATTTCAGGACTCAATTCTGGAGTCTTACCCTCTGGCTCCATATTATCCTTTCTGGCTCCCCCAACCCAGTCTGGGTTACATGCCTTTTAGATCCTTTTATACCACCACTACTATAACATCATTAGCTACTTTATAATTATCTATTTTTCTTCCCTAATAAATAGCTAGCACCTAGAGGATGTTTTATTCCCCAGGCCCTTACTCTCTGGCTCATAAGAAATACTCAATAAATGTTGGCTGAACAAATGAAATAGCTATGAAGAGGAAATGGACTGAATTGTGCCATACTCTGCCCTCCAATTCCTGTGTTGAAGCCTTAAACCAGAATTTGACTATATTAGGCCAAAAGGGCTTCAAAGATAATTTAGGTTAAATGAGATCACAGGAGTGGGACCCGAACCCCACAGGATTGGTATCCTTGTAAGAGAAAGAGACATTATGAGTGTTCACACACAGAGGAGAACAAAGAAGGGAGCCATCTGCAAGCCAGGAAGAGTCCTCACTAGAAACCAAGATGGCCAGAATCTTGATGCTGGACTGTCAGCCTCCAGAACTATGAGAACATTTATTTCTGTTATTTAAGCCAGCAAGTCTGGAGCATTCTGTTATGGCAGCCCAAGGTGATTAATACAATGACACAAATCTTTGTGCCAAAGTCTCTGTGGATAACAGAATGCTAAGCAAAATCTACACCACAGCAAAAACAGATACAGAAGACCTCTTTCCACTGCTCTGGAAAAAAAGAACCACATATTTAACAGAAAGAATAATAGGAAACATCATTCTGACATTCATGCAAAACACTAAAAATAAAAATAGGATCTTTAATATGACAAGTAGCAAAACTGTTGGTATCAATCACTGTTTTGCTTATTTATTTATTTATTTATTTATGGCAGTACTAGGATTGAACCCAATGACCTTCCCACTGAGCTGCATCCCCATCCCCAGCCCTTTTTTCATTTTTTATTTTGAGACAGTCTCACTAGGTCACCAAGTTCCCCAGGCTAGGCACAAACTTTTGATCCTCCTGCCTCAGCCCCCCAGAGTGCTGGAGTGTCATCACACCCAGCTCAAACACCATTTGTAGCTATTTATTCAGGTAGAAAAAAGACAGATGTATGTAAAGATTTCACATGCCAGGGAAATTATTCACTGGGCCTAAAATACAATTACAGACTCATCTTCCCAACATCTGTTATTTAAGATACCTGCTGCTAAGCTGCTCAAGGTGCAGGTTTATGTTTCATCTTCCCACACTGACAGTGAAGACAATGGCAAGGACACGGGGTGAGGAGTAGTGGTTCTGATCACTATCAATGCCCAAGACAGTGTTCTGCTCCAAGTATACATAACTGCTAAAAAACGATTACCATGGACAACTGACTCATCTCCTAATTGTGCAGTATCACTAGATTTTCAACGCAACAATGGACTGGCCTTTAGCCCTTCTCCCAAACATTTCTCCTCATATGGAGCTTCCACAAGTAATCTCGCAGATTTAGAAAATGATTCTGCAAGTGAGCTTGCTACTTTTCATGTACCACTCTAACACATTTGCAAAATCCAAGATTTTTTCAATAAATAAAAATGCATTTTTAAAATAAAATCTAAGTAAAATTATCACAGTATTCACAGCTCACTGATTTCCAAACAGCTCATTTTAAGAAACTTGGAAAATTGAGAGTTTGACTAAATTCTACGTTCACCTTGTTCTTGCTGCAGTACCCAGAAAAGGACAAAGATCTACTGGATAATTCTTTCATAAACAGCTTACAGTGTTACTGTTTGAAAGTTAATCTCTCAGGATATTCTCATAACTTCAGCTTGTTAAAAAAAAAATCTCAGCAGGCTGGGGATTTAGCTCAGTGGTTCTGCTGCCTGCCTCGCAAGTGCAAGGTCCCAAGTTTGATCCCTGGTACCAAAAAAAAAAGATTAAAAAAAAAAAAAATCTCAGCTTATAAAGCAAATGAAATAAATGCATATCAAAACCTTGATCACACTTGGGACTTTACATTTAACTTCAATCATTCATTCATTCATTCATTCATTCATTTATTCATTTGGTGCTTGCAACTGAAATCAGGGCTTTTTGTGTATTAAGCACACGTTCTACTGCTAAGTTACATTTCTAGCTCCTTAACTTTATAATGAAGAATGAAATCTCTGAGACTCTTCTCTATTAAATGTAATATAGAACAATGAGAATGCCAAGTCACTGGAAAATTTTTACTTGTGTGCTTGTTTCCCAAATAAAAATGAGACTAAAAGAAAAACTATACAAATAGGACTGGCCCCTTATGCACACAGATACACAAACATACACAAAGGGATTTCATTTTTAACAGCATCATTTACCTTCTGCCCTTCTCACAAAGCTTCTCAATTTCAGCTTTCAGATCCTGCTCTTTCTGCAAAAACTCCTTCTTTTCTTTCTCTATCTTCTTTTTTGTTTCTTCTCGCTTTATGGTCACATCCTGAATAGCCTTTAAAATCTCCTAAATACCACACGATTACAGTCACACACAAATAAAGAAGGAAATAAGTTAGTTCTTTTAATTCGACAGTTATTTTCAACAATCTGACATATTCACATATTGAGTTTAGCAGATTCAAACTGAATTCAAAGAATCTGGTTGATAAGTAGCTCCAAAAACTGAGGGTGAAAGTTCCAAGAGCAATAGACTTAACAGAAGGAAGAAGTTCTAACATTCACCCTGTTCCAAAATGGAATTGTGAAGCAACTGTGAAGCAATCAGCTCTCTTAAGCTCTTCAAGTAAAGACTGAATGAACAGCTATTAAGGATGCTGAAAAAGGTGTTCTTGCTCCAGGTGGGAGTCTACTGCATCCAACAAATGCGGTCTTGTTATAGTTCTATTTTGTTTTGTATGGGGTGTTTCTGTTTGTTTGCCTTTTTACTGTTTAACAACAACTAATACATATGCACATATATCTGTAATAAAAAGTCAAATAATACAAAGGTGACAGAGTTAACAGTTACCCCCAGCTTCCTCCCATTAGGATAATCCATGTGGTAACTGCTGTATCATGCTTTCACATTTTGTTCATTCTCCCACCACACAGATACAATGAATATATTTGTTGTTTTGGGTTTTTTTTGGTCAAACCCAGGGTGTTGTACATGTAAAGCCTGTACTCTGTCACTAAGCTATATACCCCCACCCTGTTTTTCTTTCTTAATGAGGTCGTTTTAAATTATTTTGTATTCTGCTTTTCTTCACCTGGCATGAACATACCATATCAATAAAGACCTAGCTCAAATAGCTGGATAATATGACATCACATGGACATATCAAATTTATCCAACCGTTCTCTGTTAAAAGTCCCTCATGGGGCCAGGGATTTAGCTCAGTGGTTCCACTGCCTGTGTGCAAGGTCCTGAGTTTGATCCCCAGTACCAAAAAAAAAAAGTCCCTCAGGTTAGGGGGCTGGGTATATTTAACTCAGTGGTTCCACTGCCTGCCTCACAAGTGCAAGGTCCCGAGTTTGATTCCCGGTACCAAATTAAAAAAAAAGGTCCTCAGGTTGATTACATTTTTATAATTATATTTCTAATCTAATTTTTGTTTTGTTTTTGGCGTTTTTGAGATGAGATCAGCTGTGTAGCTCAGAACAGTTTTGGCCTCACAATCCTCCTGCCTCAGCCTTCCAAGTGCTGTGATTATAGGCGTGGGCCACCACATTTGGCTTTTTTTAAACAATACTGCAATGAACATTCTGTATGTCTACACTTTCACACAAAAACTTCTATCTGTAAAATGGACTCCTAATAAGATTGCTAGGTCATATTACATGTATATTTTAAATTTTAACTGACAATTCCTAATAACTTTCCTAAAAAGGTCATCACAATTCACACGCCTACCAGTAATCTCTGAAAAAGTTCACTTTACCTCACCATGCATAATTTAATTTTTACTCATTACTGGGGGAGGGAGAAAAGAGAAAGGAATAGTATCTAATAATTTTAATATGCATTTCCTTAACTTTTTTGTTTTTACTGTCTGTCCCCAACTAGAACAAGCAGTCAATGAAAATAGAGACTGTGTTTTGTTCATCATTAAACCTCCACAGCCCACATTAGGCACTCCAAAGATATGTTCAGAATAAATGAATGAGTACCAATGAGACTGAATTTCTTTTCAAATATGTATAATCCTTTTGCCTTTCCTCTTCTGTAAATTACTGTTTATAACTGTGGTGGGAATATAATACCCTTCTCCAAGGTGTCCATGTTCTAATCCATGTATAATGTTACTTTCTATGGCAAGAGAGACTTTGTACAGGTGACTAAGATAAGGACCATGAGTTGAGGTGATATCCTGATTATATGGGTGGACCTGATCTAATCACCTGAGTCCTTAAAAGTGGAGAACCTTCTCAGATGTGATCAGAGCAAGATGTGACTAAAGAAGAAAGACCTAACAGACACAATGTTGCTGGCTTTAAGGATGGAGGAGGGTCCTTAATCCAAGGAATGCAGGCAGCTTCAACAGCTAAAGGCAAGAAAATAGATTCTCCCCTAAAACCCCAAGAAAGGCACATAGCCCTTCCAATATCTTGATTTTAGCCCAGTGACACTTGTAAGACTTCTGACTACAGAACTATAAAATAACAGATTTGTGACGTTTCAAGTCACTAAATCCATGGTAATTTGTTACAGGAACAATAGGAAACCAACACAATAACTTTTTTTTTAAGTGATGCTAGAAATTGAACCCAGGACCTTGTGCATGCTAAGCATTCACACTGCCACTGACACAGCCCCGACACAATAACCTTTCCTGACTTTTCTCTATATTGTTTGACTTTTACCATGCATTTGTAGAAATATTCAGAATGTCAACAGATAGTAAACCCTTTAGCAGATGTGCTAACAAATATTTTCTATCAGTCTAACAATCTCAACTGATTTTTCTATTGTTTGGTAGTTTTAATTATATGTAAACTGATTAATCTTTTTCTTCATGGTTCTTCATGGGTTTTCTGCCTTCATGGGCTTTTTCAAGTGACTTCTTGCCATGTGAGCTTTTATAAGTATTCTCCTAAATTTTCTTTTAAATTTTTTTCTAGTTTTTATATGTAGATTTTTAATCTACTTAGAATTATACATATAATATGAGATAGGACACTACATATATATTTCCCAGATAGACATCTTTTTCTCTCTGAACTACAACAGAAGAGTTTGGATAAGATGGCCTCAAAAGTTCTTTTTATTCTTAAAATTCTATAGAAACCATTAAAAAGTAAATACTGCTTTTCTTTTTCTACTGACCTGGAAATAAATTTAAAGTATGATCAGGGTCTGCTGTTTTTACTCAACAATTTATTTACTTATTTTTCTTTTTTGCAGTGTTGGAGATTGAACCCAGGGCCTTGTACATACTAGGCAAATGCTCCACAATGAGATATATCCCCAGTCTGACAATTTCAGTACAAGCAAAATACCTGATGATTCTTCATCTCTTCTTCTCGCCTTTGCTGAAGTTGCTTTAATTGCACTTGGAGCTGATTCTCCACCTGCCTCTGTTTGTCCAGGACTTCCTGGTAACGCTCCTTCAACAAGGTTCTCTCTGTCATCATTTTGTCCTAATGGGAACAACACAGGAAAACTTTACTTTCCAATTAATCACAAAAAACATTCACCAAGTGCCTGTCCAAGCCACATTATCCAAAGCTCTATGGATACACTGTCCAATACTGTAGCAACTAGCTATATGTGGCTATGTAACTTAAAATTAATTAAAATATAATAGTATAGAAAAATTTAGGCCCTCAGTTGCATAGCTAAATCTGCACTACTCAAAAGACATGTGCAACTAGTGGTTACCAAAACGAACAGCACAGATACAGAACATTTCCATCACTAGACAGTTCTATTACAAAACATTACCCTAAGACAGGGGTTTGCAACCTACAGCACATGTGCCAAATCCAGCCAATGCCTATTTTTGTAAATAACAGTTTTATTGAGCTGGGCATGGTGGTGCACACCTGTAGTCCCAGCGCTCTGGAAGGCTGAGGCAGCAGGATCCCAAGTTTGAGTCCAACCTGGGCAACTGGGCAACTGGGCAACTTAGCAAGACTGTCTCAGAATAAAAAATTAAAAGGAGGTAGGCATTGGGGATGTAGCTCAATGCACATGCCCTGGGTTCAACTTCCTGTACTGCAAAACACAAAACAGAACTGAACAATTTTATTGGAACACAGCCTGAATTACATCTTGCAGGAACTCTGAACCTGAGCTCTGTAGACAGCCCTTAGGAGATCTCTGAACTCTGTAATTGGGAGTGTGTGTGTGTGCATGTACGTGTGTGATTTACTGAGATGTGCGTGTGTATGTGCATGTACATGTGTGATTTACTGAGATATGGTGACCATTACTCAGATACCTTAGAAACAAGAAAGGAAAAATAGATCCAACAGCTGCTAAGTGACACAAAACTAATCTAAGATTAACTGGAATTAGTGAAAAATTAGAAGAGAGCACAAATGACACAACAAACCTGTATACAGAAACAACAGTGGAAAACTTTTCCAATGTGGGGAAAGAATTTAACATACAGATAAGTGAGACATACAGAACCCCAAATAGCCAAGATCAGACTCCACTATACATCACAGTCAAAATTCCAGAAGTCCAATACAAGGACAGAATCTTAAAAGCTGTAGAGAAAAGCAACAAATCACTTATAAGGTGAACCTATTAGAATGACAGCAGACATCTCAACATAAACCTTAAAGGCCAGGAGAGCTTGGAGTGAAATGTTTCAAGCCCTAAAAGAAAACTTCCAACCCAGATTGACATATCCTGCAAAACTACCTTTCAAAATTGATGGAGAAATAAGGTTGTTCCACAATGAAGAGTACCTTAAGAAATTTATGACCACCAAACTAGCACTCCCTGCAAAAATCCTCAAGGATATCCTACAAAGAGACAATGAAGCCAACAATGCCAAAAAAGTGCAATGGAATGCATACACCAGGTAGGGTGAGAAAAAGTGGAAAAAGGAATCAGCGACAGGAAAATAATGACAGGAACAAGTCAATATCTTTCACTAATAGCTCTCAATGAGAATGGTCTCAATTCCCCAACTAAAAGACACAGATTGGAACAAAAAACAAAACTCATGGTATGCTGTATACAAGAAACACATTTATGTGAGTGTGGTGGTACATGCCTGTAATCTCAGCACTCAGGAGGCTGAGGCAGGAGGATCACTTAAGTTTGAGGCCAGCCTGGGCTACATAGTGAGTTCAAGGCCAGCCTGAACTACACAGTGAGACCCTGTCTCAAAAAAAAAAAAGAAAGAAAGAAACACATTTAATCCAAAAAGAAATGGATACACTAAAAGTCAAAGGATGGAAAACAATATTCTATGCAATAGGAGCCCAGAAACAAGCTTCCAGAAAATGGAAAGTTATCCCTATTCCTCAATAGGCAAAACCAATATTGTCAAAATGCTAATACTTCCAAAACTGGGATAGATAGATAGGCGATCCTAATCAAAATATCAACAGCATTCCCCACAGAACTAGAGAAAACAATCCTAAAATTCATATGGAACCAGAAGAAACCCAGAATAGCAAAAGCAATCCTGGGCAACAAAGAGAAAAACAGGTGGTATCACAATCCCAGTATTCCAATTATATTACAAAGCCACAGTGATAAAAACAGCATGGTACCAGCATGAAAACAGACATGTGAACCAATGGGACAGAACAGAGGATTCAGAAACAAATCCAAGCACATTCAGCTACCTGATCTTTGACAAAGGGGCCAAAATCACACACCAGAGGAATGATGGACTCTCTAGCTAATGGTACTGGAAAAACTGGCTATACACATGCTGCCAAAGACTGAATCTAGATCCATATCACTCCCATTTCCAAAATGGGAAAAATTTTTTACCAGCTACACCTTGGACAGAGGACTAGTATCTAGAATATATAAAGAACCCCAAGAAATTAGAATTCCCCAAAATAAAAGACCCAACATCTTTAACCATTAGACAAATGCAAATCAAGCACAACACTGAGATTCCATATTACTCTAGAAAGAATGTTTCTTTGTTGTTGTTGGTGGTGGTGGTGGTGGTTTTTTTGAGACAGGCTCTCACTATGTACACTTCAGGCTGCCCCAGGCTGGCCACTTTATGTGGCACAGGCTGGCCTCAAACTCATGATGATCCTCCTGCCTCAGCCTCCCAAGTGCTGGGATTACTGCCGTGTGCCATCAAGTCCAGCCAACAATGGCCATCATTAAGAAATCAAATGATGGGGCCAGGGATTTAGCTCAGTGGTGCCGCGCCTGCCTCACAAGCGCAAAGGTCCTGAGTTCTATCCCCAGTACCACGAAAAAAAAAAAGAAATCAAATAATAACAAATGCTGGTGAGGCTGTGGGGGAAAAGGAAATTGTTAGTGGGAGTATAAACTACTACAATCACTATGGAAATCAGTATGGAGATTCCTCAGAAAACTAAAACTAGAAATTCCCTTTGACCTAGCTATTCCCCTTCTAGGTATCTTCTGGAAAGCATTAAAGCTATCATATTACAATGACAGATGCACATCCATGTTGACAGCACAACGCATAATAGCTAAATCTTGGATGTGGCCTATATATCAACAGATGAATGGATAAAGAAAATGTGGCATTTATACACAGTGGACTACTACTCTGCTATAAGAAAGGATAAATTTCAGTCATTAGCAGCAAGACTGGATGCACCTTGAGACCATAATGTTAAGTGATATAAATCTGACACACAGCTTTAATATCACATAGTTTATAAGTAAATTAAGGAGCAAAACAAAAGACAGATAATAGGAAATAGGGACATAGATATTTTATAAATGGGAAGAGGACCAAGAGATGGAGGGAGGGGGAAAAAGAAGATAAAAAGAATTAAGATGTGTTATGCACATGTACCAGCACCCCACAGTAAATATAATCATTATGTACTGCAAACATGTACTAATAATAAAATAAACAAACAAAACCCCATAAAGCCAAGTATGGTGGTGGATGCCTGTAATCCCAGCACTCTGGAGGCTGAGACAGCAAGACTGCCACAAGTTCAAGGCCAGTTTGGGCTGCATAGTGAGTTCAAGACTAGCCTGAGATACACATCGAGACCCTGTCTCAAAAAAAAAAAAAAAAGGACCGGAGATTTAGCTCAGTGGTTCTGCTGCCTGCCTTGAAAGTGCAAGGTCCCGAGTTCGATCCCCAGTACCAAAAAAAAAAAAAAAAGCAAAGCAAAGAAAAATCTTTTATCCAGTTTCTCAGGAGGCTAAAACAAGAGGATCACTTGAGCCCAAGAATCAAGGCTATCCTGGGCAACATGGTGAGAGTCCATCTCCAAAAAAGATAAATAGATAAGCTACATATATTTTTAGCAGTTTTTTTTTTTTTTGGTACCAGGGATGGAACTTGGGACCCTGCACTTGGTGAGGCAGGCGGCAGAACCACTGAGCTAAATCCCCGGCCCTATACGTACTTTTAAATGCCTATATACTTAAAAGGTAGAAATTCTAGCCATAAAATGCCAGGAATAGAGAAAGGGACTATTTTAACAAAGACAAAATTTTCCATCTACATTTTAAAAGCAATTACCAAAGGATAAAGTGGAAAAGATAGCAATAAAGAATAAATAAGAGGGCCGGGGATTTAGCTCAGTGGTGCTGCTGCCTGCCTCACAAGGGCAAGGACCAAAAAAAAAAAAGAATACAAAAGAAAAAGACTTAGCCAGGAGTGCTAGTGCACACCTGTAATCCAGCACTCAGGAGGCTGAGGCAGGAGAATCGCTGCAAGTTAGAGGTCAGCCTGGGCTACATAGTGAGTTCAGGGCCAGCCTGAACTGCAAAGGGAAACCCTGACTCAAAAAAACAAAAAAAGAAAGAAAAAGACTTAATGGTGTTTGACTAGAAACTTAACAGCGTAAAAAGAAATAGTGTCTAGAATGAAAGGCTGAGAAACCCTCTCTACTATGAATTATACCTGGACTATTTCATTTGGTTCTTGGGATCAGTTTTTAAAAGAAATACCAATGACATAGTATATACCTAGGTGAAAGTAACCAGGATGAGAATGGAACACTGGGAAAAATACCATATGAAGAAAAGAAGAATGCCAAAAACATGTGGGACTGTTTCACCTGGATAGGTTTGGACAGGAAGAATTAAGAAGAGACATAAAAAAACCCTTCATATATCTGAGTATGCTAGTGCACACTTGTAATCCCAGCATTCTGGGAGACTGAAGCAGGAGGATCAAAAGCTCAAGTCCAGCCTCAGCAACTTAGGAGACTAAAATAAAAATTGTTTTTAAAAGAGGATGGAAATGAAGGTTGGTACAAAGACATTAGGCTCAATGCCCAATACCAAAAACAAAACAAACAAACAAAAAAACCTTCAAACATATGCAGGGCTAATAAGTCAAAGAGGAGTTCAATTTACTCCAGAAAGTTCAAGAGAACTATACTAAGAACTTATAGTTTCTGTCTTTAGCTCAGAATCTGACAATAAAAGCTACTGTTAAAAAATGTAACAGTTGGCTGTATGAGGTAGCAAGAGTCTTCTCTTGCGTGATCAAATAGAAGTGAGCTGATCATCTGCCAGGAGATTCCTGCAACTTTTTCCAACTGAGATGATAAACTTCTAGATGTTCTGTTTTAATGGCTTCACATAACAATGACACATTACTTACCAGATTCTTTTCAATGTCTTGATCTGTGTTAACCTCTGAATCTGCCGTCTTAAAATCAGTCTATGAAGGAAGAAACAAGTACATTCAGAACAGTTCATAGTATTTTAAGAGATACAGAATTATTCTAGTATTTTTACCTGGAGATCTACCACAACTAACTGAGAGCAAACTTTTTGTTTTCTCCTTATGAGCTTCGTAGCAAAAGAAGCAATGTAGTTCCGGCAAACAGACACCAATATCTACACTGCATTAGTCATTTATCCCACATAATAATCTGAACAAGACCCAATATTTGTCTGAGAGAAAGCCTCAAATCTGAGATGAGAATTTTGTCCCCTACAACCTATTGTGCCCATACTTCTTCCTACGACAGTCACTAGAAGGCAGGATACACTGTACTTCTTTAAGATGTAGTCAGAGAATTAAGAAGGATTCCTCCTGTAAGGATAAAGATGGGAAATATGAATGCTAATGACCTGCATTCATCAATTACTCAGTGAAGAAATTCTATGTAGGTCATAAAGTCCCTACTTGCCATTAGAGTAGATACTGTCTACTGTCTTTATTCATGGAACACCAGAATGAACTGCATAGCATTGTATGAACACAACAAAATCGAGACAATGTAGTTCTCCACCAAATATGAAGAAATGTCTCCTACCCTCAAGAAAACCCCCCCAAATTCCATTTTAGTAGTAGAAACTTGATACTTGACCTGTACAGCAATGTTCTGAGAAAGCTTCAGGGAAGAGCTATCCTGATCATCATCCTGATCCACTCTGACTCCTTCAACCCCATTTGCTGGAGGCATCACAGGTCGGAAATCCAAGCCTGTGTCCCTGCTACCTTCCTTTGGGATGGAGGCTTGTGGGGATTTCTCTTCAGAGCAATTCCTGGAGGCAAGCTGCTGTGTATGGCACCCTGCCTTAAGAGACCGAGTGATTGGATGGAGGCTCTCCTGGAGGCTCGTGTCCCCCTCCTCTCCTGCTGTGCTGGCCAAGTCCTTCAAATCAGACTGAGACCCACTGCCAGAAAGACAAAGTGCTGTGGCTATCAAGTTTTCTCCTAAAACCTCCTGGTGCGCTGCTGAAGTGTCACCTGCTGATGAACCGGGATTCTGCTCTGGGTGTTCCAAATGCACATTTCTGTTATTCTCCTTGGTTATCGTTTGGCTACTTACACTCGACGGAGGCGAGTTCTTCTGCTTCTCTGCAGGGTCTTTGGGGCTATCAAAAACAAAAGATAAAAAGTTTCTGGGCCTGGAGTATAGCTCAGTGGTAAAGCACTTGCCTAGCACATGTGAGGTCCTGGGAGTGATACTGAGCACCACCAAAAAAAAAAGTTTCTCTCTCACCCAGTCTTAAAGACAATTAAGACAGTACTCTCAACATTACCTTGAAAAACAAAACTAGACTATAAACCCTCCCAATTATCTGAGTGAAAGAGAACCTAGTTTCTATTCCATATTCATGGAGTCTAGATTATGGGTGAGCAGCTGGCTTCTGGAGACAATCTATAGTAAATGCCCAAACATGAATGACCCTCAAGATATAAAAAATTCTGATAGCCAATTTGAGTAAACTTTGGGGACACAGATAAAATAGCTTGTTAGAATATTTAGTTATGCATACTACTTTTATTATACATGTTCTCATAAAAGAAATATTAATTCAGAAATAGCGTTTTTATTTCACAAAGTAAACTTTCTTCAAAATTATTAAACGGAGCTTTGACCAGAACTATGTTGGTTCTTCAACAGTTTTCAGAGGACAGCATCACCTCAAGTTGTCTAAAGTACAATTTTGAATCCCAAACTAAAATTTTCAATAGAAATTTTATCACATGCTGGGGATTTAGCTCAGTGGCACTGCGCCTGCCTCACAAGCACAAGGTCCTGAGTTTGATCCCTGGTACTGGAAAAAAAAAAAAAGAAATTTTATGACAGCAAGTATACCTATATTTAACATTAGTATGGTTATTCTGTCATTTCTCACAGACACTAATGCATTGCTTCCTCACCTCCACCCTACCAGTGCTGGAGATCCAACCCAAGACCTCATACATGCTAAGCACTCTCTCTCCCCTAAGCTACCATCCAGCCTTCCAGCCAATGTACTGTTTTGGGGTTTGTTGCTGTTGTTTCCAGTACTGGGGATTGAACCTGGGGCCTTTGCACTGAGCTATACTCCCGGTCTTTTTTATTTATTTTTTATTTATTTATCTTTGAGCCAGGGTCTTGCTAAATTGCCCAGGCTTGGATTGAATTTATGATTCTCCTGCTTCAGCCTCCCAGAGAGCTGGAATTACAGATGTGCACTCCCACCATTTGCTCAATGTATTGGTTTTTTTTTTTGGTACTAGGGATCAAACTTGAGTCTCAACGTACTGTTTTTTAAAGAGATCTTTAAAACAAATTTACAATGACAACCAACATTCACAGCTGTAAGTCTTTACCTAGAAATTAAATCTATGTTAAATTTCTTTGCCTGCCCTTTTTAAAAAGCCTGATTCTGTCAAATGACCCCTTAAACATCCCAAACTACCACTGACTGAGGCTTCAAAGCAACGTGTCTTTCTTTCCTCAATAGGATCTGTCCAAATTAAAACAACTGAAAGAGTATCTATGATATGGAAATCTTATAAATACTCTCGATTCCTTTTTGCTGGGAGTTAACTAGAGCACGTGTGGGTAACTTAATTATAAAGGTGGGTATATACAGTGCCTGGTTTTGAATCCTAACTCTACCACTTATTAGCAGTTTGAGTCTAGCAAATTATTTCATTATAAAATAGAAACATTACCACAGGATTATTCTGAGGATTACATGAGTTTAAGTAGAGTGTCCAGCACACAGCAAATATTCAATAACCCTTACCTGCAATTATTATAACTAGCAGTACATGGTTTATTATAAAATGAATAAACCAATTTTTATAAGCATAAAAATTCAAGTCTCCACTTATGTTTATATAACATCTTCCCCCATTACCCATTCCCTAACAAACACCTCTTCTTTCAAACAAGTATTTATTAAGTACTCTAGATTTAATCAACCCTGACTCCAACATAGCTTGGTAATCTTGGGCAAGTTACGAACCTCTCTGTATCTCAGTTTCCTCAATGGCAAATGGGAATAATATTAGCACCTACCTCCCGAGGCTGTTATGAGGGTCAAATGTGTTAATACATTTGCTAGTAGAGTATTCTCTATTATATAGGTCCCAAGTACTCTAGTCAATTCAGGTCAACATTGCACAAAACAATACGCCGGCCACTCTGAGATGTCAGGTTGGGTAATTATAATTCCTGCCCTCAAGAGTTTGGATGGGAAGCAAAATGTATATATGAATGGCAGACCATATTAACAAGGCTATCAAGATAGATCTACATATATGTCTGCATTTTTCTTTATCCCCAGATATAGCTCTGTACATTTCCTTATCTGTCTATATAACAAAAAATCTTATAAATGAGTATAATGTGTAAACATGATCATGAACATACAATCTAAGCAGGACAGAGTGGGGAACTACTTGCATTTTTGATGAGTTAACCCCACTTCTAAACTAACTAACAGCCATCTAGCACATCTGCTGTGCCCCTACCTTTAAAAAGCTTAATCTACTGCAGTACCAGAGGCAAAAAGAGGAAAAACCAGCCCATCTCAAAAGCCCATTACCCAAATGAATCTTCCCCTAAAGAATCCGCACATTACCTTAGACCATCTGGGAGGCTTTCATCAGATTTGGAAGCACATAAACTAGAAGAGGATTCCGGAGGATTGGGAGCATTAGCCACAACACCAGCTACCTCAGACGCAGCCATCACGCTCTGTATATTCAGAAACAAAATACAGGCTGCAAGTTTCAAAGTTTAAATCAAATGTATCTTTCCCCCTCAGAATGTCCACACAACAGCACTGTTCTAAGAGACAAAAAAAGATTTCACTCCAGGAGAAAAAAAGGGTATTCCACAGTAAAGTATTAAAAGAACCTCAGGGGCCAGGGATTTAGCTCAGTGGTTCCACCACCTGTGTTGCAAGGTCCCAAGTTTGATCCCCAGTACCAATAAATAAAAATAAAAAAATAAAAGAACCTCAGCATTCAATAGGTCCCAGTGGGTACCAATCCTCAAGTCACTAGGAGTTTGTGCAAAGCTTGTTTTCTCTTTTGGCACAAATAGTTATTTAAAATAGATCATAAAAAAATAAAATAAAATAAAACAGGATCATAATCTGGGAGAATATTCCAAATGGTCCACATACCTACCTTGTCTACTATTATTTACAAAACATGTATTTTCTGGCCTAGTATGAACATGGTATGTTAAGTCATTTTATGGTGTTATATTCAAAGAAGTCTCCATTAAGTTTTTTGGAAGTGGTTACAAGTGCAAGCAATACAATATATTCGGCAACCCCAATATATTCGGCAACCCCAATATTTACTCAGTGTGTGCTCTCCCCACAGATGGGAAAAGCCTAGCAGCCACAGCCTGGGCAAAGTACAGACTCTTTGAAGTTACCACAGTGATGCCAAAAAGAATGAGACTTGGTTACCCTAGCAAGAGCACGAAAAACTGAAAAACATGGTAATTTAAGTAAGGGAACCTAAAATACGTTCTCTTTTTTAGATCAAAAGGTCATCGTTTTTGCAGCAGGACAAACTCATGCCCTTTTATGGTTACAAAAAAGAAAAACAAATCTGGAGGTGGGACGTGAACATAGGCTGTTTACATTATTGTTTTTATTCTGACAGCATTACAGGAGTAACCCTGAACTCCGAGAGGTGCACAGAGCAGATACGGAGGCTGGGCGGCATCAACACTTCAGTCACAGCCCAGTGCCTCGGTTTCCCTCACTATATAACTCTCCTAGGCGAAAACGGACCCCTATCATCATTACGGCTCAAGTGCAAACATTCTGGCTCCGACACAGTCCAGGGTCAGGGTCATCGGTGCCCGGTAAATGAAACCACAAAACAAGGGTCATACACACAGCTCCGTAGCTGGGGTGCTGGGGAGGAGACGTTGGGGACAGAAACATCTGGCTGGAGAGTCGCGCGTGCCCACAGGAATCCCGCAACCCGGCGGCGCCACGGGCAGCGACGGGTCCTCGGGTAGAACGGCAGACGACCGGGAAGGGGACAATGGGGGAAGCGGCGCCCGGTGGTCACCGCCACCTTCAACAGGGGACAGCTAAGCTGGCCGCTGGGTCCGGCCAAAGCCACCTCCTCACCTCCCTCGCGGCCCTGCACCCCGCCGCTAGCCCCCGTCCCACTTCTAGGCCAGGCCCCCGCCCCACTTCTAGGCCAGGCCCCCGCGCCAGTCCTCGAAGCCCCCTCCACGCCCCCACCACGACCTCTGCCCCCCGGCCCGCGGCCCCGCAGCGCCTCAGCCCCCTCCCCCCGCGCGCCCGGCCTGCACACACCTCCCGCGTCGCGCCCCCAGGAGGAAGGGGGGAGGGACCGGACGCACCTGAGCGGGCGGAGCGGGGGGAGGGGGCGCCGAGCCACGGGGGGAGGGGTCGAGCGCCGGGCCGCGCGCGACACCTCCCACTTCCGGCGGTACGAGCGGAGGGGGCGAGGCTCGGCCCGCGAAAGGAGAGGCCACGACGCTCCGCACCGCCGGCGACAGCGCCCTCTGGCGGCGAGAGCCGGCACTGCCTGGAGAAAGCGAATTCTGCGGAAGACCCCTGAGATCCTAGTGGCCTCTGCGGGGGCGCAGAGAAGAGGAACGTGTGACCGCTAGAAGGGCGGCCTGATGGAGGCAGGCGTCCCTCTGGGAGGGTCACAAGGAGAGTCAGGGCTACGGCGATCAGGGAGAGAAGAGGAACGAGGTATGTTTAAAGGTCGGGACCGGGGCTGGGGATTTAGCTCAGTGGTTCCGGGGCCTGCCTCACAAGCGCAAGGTCCCGAGTTCGTTCCCCAGTACCAAAACCCGCCCCCCCAAAATAAAGGTCAGGACCGAGATGCCCTTTTCAGAGGACTCCATGAAGGAGGAGAAGCCTCTAGGAGGGACGCTGTTGAAGATGCCCAGAGGACTCGGGTGCTGAAGCCCCACGAGCTAAGCCCAGCAGCCCACACGCCCGAGCGCTATCCCGTGCGCCCGTAGCTCCGGCCGGCTGTCTGTCCGAAGACCGGCCGGTGATTGGCTGCGGCGCCGGGCGGAAGTGATGCCGCCGTCCCTGGCTCCGGCTCCCGGGAAGCCGCGAGTTTCCGCAAGGAGGCGGCGGCAGCAGCTGCGGCAGGGTCGGTGAGTTGGGCACTAGGTGGGGGCTGGACGTGGGAAGTCCGGACAGCCTAAGAGTGGGGGGAACCGGTGTCTGAGGATGAGAGCGCTGCACAGAGGGCGCCTCTGGTTCTGACATGAACCCCAGCGGGAGGGGACCCCAGGGTCTGAGATTCCAGGACTGTGTGGGTCCTAATGAAAAGGGGAGTCCGGTGCACGGAGCCGTCGAGGCCGGGGAAGGGGGGATCAATGAAACTAGCCGCAATCCATGACCTGGAACAGGGTGTGGAAGCTTCGAGGACCGTTGCTTGGGAGTAGATTCTCGGACTTCGAATTGCCCTTCTTCCTTGACCACTCAAAGCTGCACACATAGGCCTAGTAGTTGGGAGTGGTGGAGTTCTGCTTCCTGAAGGTGTTTAAAGTTTTCTGCCCGAAAGCCAGATTGATAAAAGTGCTGCTGTGGCCGGGCGTGGTGTAACACGTCTTGGAGGCTGAGGCCGGAGGATGGCTGCAGTTCGGTCTGGGCCACATAGTGAGATCAAGGCCATCCTGAACTACGAAGCAAGACCCTGTCTCAAACAAACAAACTATCAGTACTGCTCTGTTCCTGGTAGACAGGACAATCTCAGGTTTCTCCTTCCAGAAATCTGTAGTGGGCTCTGCTGAGAGTGAAGGGGCCTGCCTGCTTAGGTTTTAAACAGAATGGCTAAAGGGGAAGACACCTCAATATCTTGGGACAGTGCAGGCTCTTGGCAGGCAGAGAGAAATTCAGAGAATATTCTCAGAAACCTAAGAGGAAAAAATATGGGATGGGAAATTTTGGAAGGAAATGATAGGTGGCATAAATTGCCTCCATTTCCAAGAAAGTGTTAGTGAAGTAGTTGTTTTTCTAGGGTGCTTTGAGTTGTTTTCACTTCACTGTGTGTCTGGGTACTCAGCTACCCTCAGGGTGGACTCAGCAAGTCCACCCACTCACATTCACCTATCCGTGTCCCCACGATTGCCCACCAGCTCAGATTTGGCCCTCTTTGTTCTTTGAGGCCTCTGAGGACCACTTACTTCCCTGGGTCTATGGAACTTGGGCCGTTGGAGACTGAATTTGGAGCCTGGGCCCTCAGTCCCAAGGCACCTCCCAAGGTAGTTACAGGGATATTCTTTAAGCCTACCTTCTCTCTCATTGCCACTTCCTGCTCAGTTTTACACACACACACATACTCCGTACTCCGTCTGGGATTTTTCCTCTTTCACTGCTGGCTGACTGCCCTTCTCGGAATTGGCTACATTCTCGGGAGGGATTTTAGTGACAGTTAGGTCCTCGCTAGGCCACCAGAAAAACAAATGAGAAAACATAGCATAATAGGATAAGAGGTAAAGTCTTTGGATTTTACACCAATTTGTGCCAGACATGTTCTAGCCTATTTTATTTTATTTTACTTGGTTTTTTTGAGACAGAGTCTGGCCATGTAGCTCAGGCTGGCCTTGAACTCACTGTGTGGCCCAGGCTGGCCTCAAACTTGTGGCAATCCTCCTGCCTCAGCCTCCCAAGTGCCAGAATTGCAGGCGTGCACCAGGCTCAGGTATGTGGTCTGATTTAGATATCTAGAAATGCTACTTATCAGCAGACAGTTTCTGTACTCACTGTTCCTGCGCTTCATGGCCAGTCTCCACTTGATCCACGGGGTTTGGTGAGACATTATTTCTTCTGTTCTTGGGGCCCACAGGTATGCAGCCTGTGCTCAGAATCAACACTACTCACCGAAAGTGATGCCTTTGCTTCAGTTACACAAGATGAGTGTGATGCAGTTAGCCAGACCAGGAGCTCAACGCCACACAGAGCCCAGGTGGGCATGGGGCCCGCCGAGGACAACCAGACTGAGATGTCAGCTGGGATAAGATTTCTGTCCCTTTGAAACAAGGGGGTGGGACTCTGGCAGAGGACAGTCATGTTGCTGCCAGTCATTTGTGGGCATAACATGTCCTTCCAGCCTTGTGAGCAGCAACAGTGGGAAGAGCAGTGTGGTGCCAGTAAGCAGCTGGGCGTGGCTTGCTTTCTGGTTTACTAGGGATTGGACTGTGATACCTGGGAAGGCATCCGCTGTCAGTACTGGCCCACACTCCACCTGCTGCCTGACCTTGTTGATCAGGAGTAAATGTGACCAGAAAGAGAGGATCAAGTGTCGAAACCTGTGAAAAGAGCAGATTGAGGGTTTCCGGTGGGACCACACCTGATGCCCCAAAGTTACCCTCTCAGTTCTTGAAGTTATTTTATCTCTTTTCTGTCCTTTCTCTCTGCCTGCAGCCTGCTGCTCTGATGCCGAAGGGGAGGCAGAAAGTGCCACACTTAGATGCCCCCCTGGGGCTGCCCACCTGCCTGTGGCTGGAATTGGCTGGGCTCTTCTTATTGGTTCCCTTTGTTATGGGCTTGGCAGAGACAAGTGGGCCCGATGCCCAAGCCCCAGGGGGGCTCAGCTGGGCTGTGCATCTGGACAGCCTGGAAGGTGATCGGGAGGAAGAGCATCTGGAGCAGCAAGCAGATGCCGTGGCCCAGGAAGCAGGGCTGGTGAATGCCGGGCGCATCGGAGAGCTCCGGGGCCACTACCTCTTCGTGCAGCCAGCTGGGCCCAGCCAGGCCATGGAGGTGCAGTCTGTCCGACAGCAGGCTGAGGCCGTGTTAGCTGGGCATGAAGCTGTCCGCTGGCACTCAGAGCAGAGGCTGCTGAAGCGGACCAAGCGCACCGTCCATTTCAATGACCCCAAGTACCCACAGCAGTGGCACCTGGTGAGTCCAGCTCTGCAGTTTCTGCTTCCAGTGGGTAGGTTCTGGTCCAATTCTTTACTAGGCTCTTCACCAAATCCCTCTCCTGCCACCCCACCCTTCACCTGAAGGGACATTTCTGGTGCTGGGGTGGTAGTTTGCCTTCAGCCTCTACCTTCCCTGTCCTCCACCTAGAGAGCCACTGTCCTGCAGTGCTTTGGGCACACGGGCTGCAGGCAGGCTGCCCACGCGCACACTCTAGCTCTGCCACTTATTAGCTCATGCCTCTGCTACACCTTTGTGTGCCTCAGTTTTCCACCTGTAAAAGGGAGACTGTAGTTGTACCTACCTCATGGAATTCAGGTTAGGGTAAGTACATATAAAAATACATATGAAGGGGCCAGGGATTTAGCTTAGGGGTTCCGCCGTCTGCCTTGCAAGCACAAGGTCCCAAGTTCGACCCCCAGTACTGAAATAATTAATTAATTAATTTAAAAATACATATGAAGCACTTATAACAGTGCCTGATACATTATGGACTCTATTACATACGTGATAATTGTAAACACTAGCATAATAACTATATTGTCCAACCCTTAACCTAGCCACCATTTCACCCCAGTCACCCATAAGTGATTCAAAAGTTCCTGGAGCCCAAGTGTGTGCCAGAGCTCTCACGTGACCCTCTTGGCTCTGTTCCCTGTGACCTGTTGGTCCTCCACATCTCCCTGGCTCTTTGGTGGAAGCCATGATGAAAACAAGTTGCTAGCTGTAACTTGTCTCTCTCTGGGATACTCAGTGTGTCATTGGATTCCCACCGCATCTCCTACAGAATAACCAGCGGAGCCCCGGCAGGGACATCAACGTGACAGGTGTGTGGGAGCGCAATGTAACTGGGCGCGGGGTGACGGTGGTGGTGGTGGATGATGGTGTAGAGCACACCGTCCAGGACATCGCACCCAACTATGTAAGTGGCCCAGAACCACACGCCCGTCCCATGTCTGAGCTCCTTCCACACTATGCTTCAGCCTTGTTCCCCTCCCTAGCAGGCACTGAGCCAAACCAAATAGCCTCGGAGGTGGGGTGGGGTGCTTTCTCCTCTCCTGTCCCAGCCAGCTTTGCAGCCTGGCAGTTAGGATGCAGCAGGTGCTCCAGCCCCAAGGGAGAGGACCTCAGCAGAACTTCCTGCTTCCTGTTGCTGCTCCCTCTCTGCAGAGTAAGGAGTGGCCCCAGTAGGCAGCTTCCCTCTCCACAGTTCTGGATACCTTTCTCTTTCTGAGTGATCTTAGCCAGGCATGATGGCACCTGCCTGTAATACCAGCACTCAGGAGGCTGAGGCAGAAGGATCGCCATGAATTTGAGGCCAGCCTGGGCTACATAGTGAGTTCAAGGCCAGCCTGAACTGCATAGTGAGACCCTGTCTCAAAAAGTAATAATAAAAGTTAAAATGTGGGGCTGGGGATTTAGCTCAGTGATACCACGCCTGCCTTGCAAGCCTGAGTTTGATCCCCAGTACCAGAAAAAAAAAAAAATGAATAAATTTAAAAAATAAAAATTAAAAAACAAAATAAAATGTGATCTTTAGATGTCCCCAAATCTCTCTTATCCTGGGCTTTCCAAGCCCTTGTGCAGTGGACCCATTCCTATAATAGGCAAGAGAGACATTTGCTAGGAGCCACAGTGCTTCCCAATTCGTCCCACTGTCTGCTACTCTTATCTTGTGGCCTGTGTGGTTTGCAAAGAGAGATGGCCTTGCTTCCCTGCCTTGGAATCCCAAACTCCCAGTCCTGTCTCCCCGCCGACCCCTAGGACCTGACTTCTAACCAGTGAGTGACTATCCGTTGTCCCTCGATATTTCAGAGCCCTGAAGGTAGCTATGATCTCAACTCGAATGACCCTGACCCCATGCCCCACCCGGATTTGGAGAATGGCAACCACCACGGTACTCGGTGTGCTGGCGAGATCGCTGCTGTGCCCAACAACAGCTTCTGTGCAGTAGGCGTAGCCTACGGGAGCCGCATAGCAGGTAGCTGCTGAATGAACTTGGGAGGCTTCTGCCAGGCACAGTAGTCATTCCCTGAGCCTTCCCTCCCTGCATTGTGAAACTTCTTTATCCCACCTGCAACACACATGACCTCAGTAAAGGGTAAACTCCTAGTGGGACAATTAGCCAGTTGGTTTTTCGGTGCAGTGATGTTTCAAACATGTTTTTAGTAGCACTGTATAAAACAAAGTGGAAATGCTCTTCATGTGGGCCCGAGGTCCCAAAGCCCCACTTCTCCAGTCTCCTCTTTCCTTTTTCTAATCAGTGACCCACGCCATCATAACAGCTCCTTCCTTTGACTGTGTTGTGCTTGCATTTTCATAGTTTTCAAAGTGCCTGGCAACACTTTGGTGCCTCCACTACCCTGTGGGCCTCTGGAAACTCCTCTCACAGGCTCACCTCTCCACACTCCCAGTCAGCCGTCACAGCTGCCCTCTATCCATTCAAGCGAGCTGGATGCCCCAGTCCCCCACTAGAAGTGGTTCTAGTGTTCCACTTCAGTCTTTGTCCATCAGGGCAGAAAGTGAGAAGAATGAAGGGGAAGCCCTTGGGGTGATTCCTAAAAATGTTTGAGAACCTGAGGATCCAGTGGGCTGGCTGCATTCCTCTCGTTCTCCAGCAGAGGGCAGCAGTCCTCTGCAGATGAGATTGCCCAGGCAGAACTCAAACTTGCAATCCTCCTGCCTCGGCCTCCCTCAGGGCTGTGATTACAGGCGTGTGCAACCATGTCCAGCTCCTAGCCCCTTTTGAAAGCCCCAGTTGTCCCTGTGTGGTGACCCAGACATAACACCCCCTCCCCATTTTAGAGGACAAACAGGCATCTCTGGGAGTACCACTGATAATGAGCACTGTTTACCCAACATTTTTTATATGTTAAGTATTGTGCTAGATGGTTTACATGACTAAGAGTGAAGATAAAAAGGGAATCAGTTACCTACATTCTAGCCTTTTCCCATACAACCCCAGGATCATTACAGTCTAAGCTCCAGTGTGACAAAAAATTCTTTCAGACAGGTAACATATATGTGGTATAATTCAAAAAGGACCAAAGAATTAACAGGGGAAATAAGTCTCCCCGCACCCAGTCTCCGACTTGGGGGACCAGCAAAGTTACCAGTTTCTTGGGTGGCCAGTATTAGTAAGGATCTCGTGTCTTCAATGCCTAGGCATCCGGGTACTGGACGGGCCACTGACAGACAGTATGGAGGCTGTGGCATTCAACAAGCACTATCAGATCAATGACATCTACAGCTGCAGGTGAGGCAGAGCTGCAGGTGAGGCAGCACAGGTGAGAGGGCAAGAGGGTGAAGCACCTGGAATGAATCCTCCAACACAAGGACAGCAAAATGGACTGACTTGGGCAGGTCCATGCAGGGGCCCCTCATTCAGCTATAAGGCCACTGCCCTCATTTCTCCAGTGCCCCAGCCGGTCTTACAGTTATTTATTTTCTAAACTCACAAACCTTTCCTCTCCAACCAAGGTAAACTGAATCCCAGTGCCAGTCCCCACCACCCTGCAGCCTGCAATTTAAGGCTGTGGCTCTTGTGGGCTGGATAAGGAGGAACTTAGGGTGGGTGGCCCCCATGATATTGTTCCTGCTGCTAACCAGTACCTCTTAAATTTTTGATGTCATCTACAAGGCATTTCCTCTCAAACAGAATTCCTCAGCCTGAGAACCGAGAACTAACCCAGATAGAGCATCCCTTCGTGGGTGCCTTGCCATCCAGCCCAGTGGTGATCCCTAGGTCCCCTAGGAGTGACCCCGTTCTGCTCTATAGCTATGTACTAGCTTGTGTCAGTGTCAGTGGGACCCGAGGCTGAGGGTCAGAGCTCAGGGTCAGAATAAACAAGTCCTACACTGGGAACATTTCCAGGGAAGAGAGCCTTAGTTCAGCTATTTTCCACATGAGAAACGGGCCAGGCCTTGGAAGCCTATGTCTTTCCATGACAGAATCCTAGTGCTGGGAATATACTTCAGTGGTAGAGTGCTTGCTTAGAATGGTAGTGTGCTGTAGGCCCTGGGTCAGTCCCCAGCACCTGCAAAAGGAAAAAACAATCATAGGAGTCCTGAACTGGAACCCCTGGGAAGAGAGTAAGAGCCACAGATGGGGTGGCCAGCAGAGACTGGGAGGCCCTGGGTGGGTAGGGACTGCCTGGCTCTGGTTCTTCCCTATGGCTATTTCTCAACAGCTGGGGCCCAGATGATGATGGGAAGACAGTGGACGGCCCCCACCAACTTGGAAAGGTAACTGACTGGATGGAGATTAGGAGACCTGGCCCTAGAAAAACTCCAACAAGGGCTGGGGATTTAGCTCAGTGGTTCTGGTGCCTGCCTCGCAAGCACAAGGTCCCGAGTTCGATCCCTGGTACCAAAAAAAAAGAAAAACTCCTACAAGCCCATCCTTCTTTGCACCCTTCCCCCAGCTGCCACCTCTCCAGAAGTGTACACCTAACCTGGGCCAGGGCGTGGTGGGCACAGGTCTTAGAGAAGAAAATGGAGTCATGTTTCCAGGTTGCTTCCCTTTGATCTTGTTTTTGGCTCTCATTCCTAGCTCCACTCTCATGATAAGCAGAGTATGTCCATCCAGCTTTGCTCAACTCTAAGCTCCCTTCCCATCTTGTACCCTTCTGTAAATCTCTTTCCCCAATGCCCAGTGCCCTTTGAACTTTATTTCCTTTTGCTTTCTAGGAGGGCTGGCAAGAGTGATTGGTGTGGTAGGTAGGAGTCTCTCGAGCTCATCAGCTGATATACCCTGACATTTTTGCTCTGCAGGCTGCCTTGCAGCACGGGGTGATGGCTGGCCGCCAGGGCTTTGGGAGCATCTTCGTGGTGGCCAGTGGTAACGGGGGCCAACACAATGACAACTGCAACTACGATGGCTATGCCAACTCCATCTACACCGTCACCATAGGTAGTGATCTGATGGTTTTGTGTGTTTGTGTGTGTGTGTGTGTGTGTGTGACTGCGTCTATCTGAATATGTGAGCAAGGGCATCACTTTGGGCTGGCATGGGACTAGGGCTGCTCTCCGAGATCCCAAGACTTCTTTGGGAACACTTTGAACCATTCCCTGCCTCCATCCCCACCGTGAGTAGTCAGGTCTCTGCTGTGGCCTCTCTTTCCATACGGTGCTTGCCTTCTGCTTGAAACCTTCCCTGATTCCTCACTAGCCTAAATTAAGTGCCCTTTAGCTCTATTACCAATGATTGGACTTGTCACTCCAGCTATAATTATATCCTTATCCAACTTCCTGCTTGACTGTAGGCTCCTTGAGATCAGGACGTGGCATTTTCCATAGGGCAGATGCTTAGTAAATATTAAGGAAAAAAAAAGGAAGACTAAGTACAGAGGTGGAAGGACTTCACTTTTGTCCTGGAAACTGTTGAAAACATGTTTTGTTTTCTTTGAGACAAGGTCTTGCTAAGTTGTCCAGGCTGGCCTTGAACTTGAAATCCTCCTGCCTCAGCCTCCCCAGTAGTTGGGATTACAGGAATGTGATGTCCCACCAGGCCTGACCAGCTCAGATCACTTTTTAAGCTCCAAATTCCCCCTAAGTGATGAGTCACAGCCAACTCCAATGTCATCAGGCCCCTGCTGCAGGATCAGCTTGTCATTTCAGCTCCCGCTTTCCTCCCTGATGCCAGGTGCTGTGGATGAGGAGGGACGGATGCCTTTTTATGCAGAAGAGTGTGCCTCCATGCTGGCGGTCACCTTCAGTGGTGGGGACAAGATGCTCCGGAGCATTGTGAGTGTTGTGTGCCTTGTGCCCCTGCCCTGTCCCACAGGACTTCTCTTAGGCTTCATTGTATTTCTTTTGCTCCCTGCTTCCCTGTCCCGCCCCTCCGCTCCTCTGCCCTCGAAGATCTGAACCTTTTAAGGCCTCTATTGGGAGACCACTGAGGGCTCTGAATAAACCTGTGTGAACAACTTTGATCTCAAAATTGTTAACTTGAAACAAATATATACATTGTTATAGAAACAAGTATCATATTGATTAAACTGCTCCTTTGAAATGCCTTCCCAGGGTCGGGGATTTAGCTCAGTGGTTCCACCACCTGCTTCACAAGTGCAAAGTCCCGAGTTCGATCCCCGGTACCAAAAAAAAAAAAAAAAAAAAAGCAAATGAAATGTCTTCCCAAAGTAGAATTTGAGCATTGGCGTCTTGCTATGGTGTCTTAAAAATAGAGCCTCATGGCATTACTAGTCAACCTTGTGTAAGTACTGAGTCCTGCCATGTCCATCCACAGGAGGAAAGCTAGCAGTTGTCTTTATGGGCTGGGCGGGAAGAGGAACCAGAGGACTGCCTCATGTCAGCTCTCCAGAGCTCTTGCCTAGAGCTATAATTGGAGCCGTGGCAAGGAGACTGCAGCAGGAACCTCTGGAGGTCTGGAACCTACCTGTGCTGGGCTCCATCCCAGCAAGTTTAAGCCAGGTCTCTGGGTCACAGTCCTGGCACTCCATGTATGTTCCTGTGTCCATAGCAGAATAACTGGGGACCGGAGGCTCCAGGCAAGAGCTGTGCTGCCACTAACTGGTGTCACATTTCTCCAGTGGCTGAGCTGGGAGGGCTCTCTGGGGCCACTGGGAATTAGGCTGCTTTGTCTTCCTGCAGGGTCAAGTTCATTTTCCAAAACTAAAATTTTGTTATGCCAGTAAATGACTTGTGGTCAACACAATGTTCCAAGGCTCTGTGCCAATTGACCCCTACTCCCTGCTCCCCCCATCCTGCCCTGCCTCTGGGAGTGAACTGAACTGAAAAGCCAGAAAGGGTATGCTCAGCAGCCTGGGGCCTGTGTCTACAGGGCACCCTGGCTGGGTCAGGCTCGGAGAGGAGGAAGAGCAGGAAACACTCTGTCTTCACTCCCTGGTAGAACTCTGGGGGTCCAGTCTCACCCCTGCTCCAGCTGGGCCCCTCAGAAGGCTCCAGAAAAGAATGGTCACTGCTGCACTGCAGTGCCTCGCTTTTCCTTTCTAAACTCAACTCCGCTTCTCACCCTCTCCCCAGCTTTCCATCTGAACTATAATTTGGCCAGAAATGAAGAGAGTTTACATAGCCAAGTTCCTATCTTTGGAACGGCCTTGCTTTGGGAGCCTCTGTTGTCAGTTTCTGCCCACCGCCCTGGGCAGCTAGGTGGAGCTGTCTCTGAGGGCAAAGACAGGACATACACTTCCCACAGTTTGTCCACCTGGGAGCTTTCTTGGACTCCCCTAGGGCTTCACCGGGCTCCTGCTACTAAGGGCAAGTTCACAGCTGCACACTAGACTGTCACCATGAGCCCGTTTCCTTAACAGGAAAAAATCAATCTGCTCCCTGGCACAGACCCGGCTTCCCACTCTCGTTGAGACTACAACTTGGAGAGTGTTTCTCCTTTCCCTTCTCGGAGTGCATGGTGTCTGGGTGAAAACTGCATCTCTTGGCAGCTGCTATAACAGCTGGGAGGGAAGCAGTGAGTACAGTGGAGAAAAGGCAGCTCTTGGCAGAAGTTGGCACCCTGGTATCTGACCCAGAAGAGAAATCGAAAGAATGGAAGTCTCTAGCCTTGCACCAGCATCACGGGCTAAGGATCCAAGTGCCACATATGGGAGCAATTTGAGGCAGAGCCCTCCTCCGCTAAACTCTTTGAGGCTCTGGCATTGATGGGACATGAAAAGAACTTGATGCCAGGCAGATGCCATCTCTGCCACTCGAACCTTGCCTCAGAACCATGGATGGGAAAGGGGTGCCCCTGGAAACCCACCTAAGACTCTGGCTGGAGCAGACAGGCAGCTCATCCTGTGTGTGGTCAGTAGAGCAAGGGCAAGCAGGCCGCACAGACACTGAGCTGACCCCCAAGGCAGTTGTATGCACGCATGTTGTCCCAGCCCCAGCCCTCAGCTGCCAAGTTGGATTTCCTTGACTGGTGCCCTTTTGTTGTCCCAACTGCAGCTGAAGCCCAGTAGCTCCCTGACCACTTCCCCTTGAAGGGACCGGAGAGGGGAGGGAGGACAGGGTGGAGAATTGGGGGAATGGGAGCAAGAAAATTAAAGTAGGAAGAATAGGAAAGTTGGCAGCACCCAAGTCCCCTGGCGTATCACCGTCTTCTTTCCCCCTACACCTTCCCCTCAGAAGCCACTCTCATTTTGATTCTGCAGAGGTCTCTGGGAGGCCAAAAGGATTCAGGGTCTTCTTGTCTGGGCCTGCTCGTGGGCCCCTCTAGTCAGGCACACAGCTCTGAGGAAGGCAGGCCCACCTGAGAGGCTGGATCCAAGGTCTGCCGTCTTCTCTCTGCCTCTGAGCTCATCTCTAATGCCCTCACTGCTTCGCACTCCACTTCCCAGGTGACCACTGACTGGGACCTTCAGAAGGGCACCGGCTGCACAGAGGGGCACACAGGGACCTCTGCAGCAGCACCTCTGGCAGCTGGCATGATAGCCCTCATGCTGCAGGTGCGGCCCTGTCTCACATGGCGCGACGTTCAGCACATCATTGTCTTCACAGCCACCCAGGTGAGATCCTGGCAGGTAAACAGGTGGCCAGGCCCAGCCCGCCCCAGAGTTTGGGTGTCAGGAGCCTTCAGATTCTAAATGTCCCAAATGTTAGGCACCAAGTCCCTTCCAGAATGGCACCTGTGAGGAATAGATATGGGAATGCCCTCAAGACCACTTCTTTACTCTGCAGCTGGTGCTCCTGACTCCCTCTCTGGAAGCAAGCCACCAGGTGGTGACATCATGAGGCTGCAACCTTTTGTCCTAGCTGTCCTAGGGGAATCCATTGCTAATGACCCCTGGAAGAGTCTGGGAGAGTCTGGACCGGATCAGCCAGCAGGGAAGCAGACGACAGCAGGCTGAGGTTGTAACACTGGCCATGCGTGAAACTAATGGGCCCCTGTTCTTTCAGTATGAGGATCACCATGCAGATTGGCTCACCAATGAGGCGGGCTTCAGCCACAGCCACCAGCACGGTTTTGGGCTGCTCAATGCTTGGAGACTCGTCAATGCAGCCAAGGTGAACAGGTGTGGGCAGGGTAGGTTACCCTGGGCAGGGTGACCAAGTGGGGTTCCAATGCCGAAAACATTGCCTGGCACATCATAGGCACTTTGTAAATGTTCATTCGTGTTGTTACATTGACCACTTTTACCCTCGAGTCAGCTGATAGCCATTTTATACATGAAAACATCCAGGCACAGCACCATAATGGAAGTTCCCAAACTGTTAGTGGAGAAAATGAGACCTGAGTATAGCTGGGGCCACTGAGGTCCTCATCTTCCACCCTGGACGTGGCCATTTCCTCCACTTTCTTGACTTGGTGACTTAAGGAGCACACCAGGGTGTCAGCAGGAGTCTAGAAGTGAAGGAAGGTGATGAAGAGAGGAAAAATAGAGAGCTGGGCCTTAAAGATTGTATGGATGAGTGTGTGTGAGTGCTTGTGCACATGAGAGTGTGAGTGTGATCAGTCTTGTTCGTTGATTTGCTGCCACCACCCCCTTTCCTTTAACAGATCTGGACGTCTGTCCCTTACTTAGCTTCCTACGTCAGCCCTGTGCTGAAAGAGAACAAGGCTATTCTTCGGTCCCCGCACTTGCTGGAGGTCCTGTGGAATGGTAAGTAGTCAGTACAGAGGGGTTAATCTTGTGTTTCAGGCCTGGGGTGGATGGATGGACAGTTAGGCTCTGCCTTCCTGCCGACTTCCCCCCTCTTCAGGAGCTGAGCTCCAGCCAAACCTGTAGTTTTCTTTGACCATTTTAGGACATGTTGCTGCTTCTGAGTTGGCTGGCCCCCTGGCTGCTTAAACAAGACCTTTCTCCTGAGCTCCTAGGAGTGAAAGGAGCTGCTGAGCAACCAGCTAGGAAGGCGGGTGGGTGGAGAGGGAGTGGGACTGAGCAGGCTGGCGTGAAAGAAGTGCCTGTGACTTCCATGCTAAGATCATGCCAGATAACTATCCAGCCCAGTAGCCTTAGCTGAAAGTAAAGGAGTTGAGTTGAGCATTCTTTCCTTTGATGCTCAGGCTTGTCTCCTCGAGCTGGATACCACCTATTGGGGTGGGACAGGCATGAGCAGAGGTCCCCTAGACTGGGGTTACCTGCCCTCCACCCCTGCCCCATGGTGCCCAGGGCTGCTAGGCTGTGTGAAGGGGTAAGGGGGAGGGGGTATCGTCTTAAGTGAGTGATGTGCTTGTATGTTGAGCACAGAGGTGGAAGCCGTTAGGGAAAGCTGGCTGGGGCTGTTTTTGTGAGAGGACCTCTACACAATTTCTTATTGTTATTGTGTTATTTTGGTGCTGGTGATGGAACCCAGGACTTTGCATATGCTAAGCATACATTCTTGCCACCAGGGTAATCTCCCAGCCCCTCTGTCTGCACATTTCCCAGTTTTCTCCACCCTTGGCCCCTCCAGATTTTTTTTGCCTTTGAGGAATTTGGCAAGCAGAGATACTCACTACTTTCTGTGAAGGTTGAGTTGTGTCATTGTCTGTACCCAAACCAGAACTGTGTCCTCACTTTTTCTGTCCTCCTCAGAAATATTCAGACCAGAGCCCTGGCAGGAGAAAGAATGGCCAAAGGAAGGATCTCAGGCAGGAGGAGGGGCAGTCTCTCTTGGGTGGAGTTTTTACTTGGAAGAGTTGAGTTACCCTCTGCCTAAGCAGGTCCAGCTCCTGCCAGTTTCCCTGTATGTGAAGGGAGCCTTAGGCCCGGTCACTATATTTCCCATAAAAGGAATGCTATCTTGGAAAGGGCATAATGCATTAGCCAAGGCAGAGCAGTTCAGAAACATGCCCTGGAATGTGGTTCTGTCAGAAGCCCCTGGCTTTGCACCCGCAGCCTTGGGTGTTGTGTGCTTTCTAACCTTTATCTCCCATTTAGGACTGTTTCCCGTCACATCTGTCAGATGAGGGAGTTGACTTAGAAGGATTGGAGCCTCTCCAGTTTTGTCATCTTTTGGTTCCTCTAACAAGGGATGTCGCCCCAGGATGTCTGACAAACTCTCCTAGGTGTTGGGGCCACTGTCAACAATTTGTTTGTCACTAGGAAGCAAGAGAAAGGAGGACAAGTTGTCCTGGGGAGAGGAAAGTGGGAGGTGGTATAGGAAGAGAATGGGTGCACTTGAGGAGGGAAAGATCCAGGGAGTGGGGCCAGAGGAGTCTTTCACCCAGGAGGCAAGCAGGCCTGCTGCACATTTCAGAGGCCAACGAAAGTGACTTCTCTGACAGGACTACAGTCACCCCTGAGCAGATAGAAGGTGAGAGCTTGAGGGCTGAGGGGAGGAAGCCCAGGCAGGACGGAGCTGAGCAACTCAAGCCCTATAACCAAGCTGTAGTGTTTTTCCAGAAGGATCTGGAACTTTTCCTAAGGTAAAGGGAGCTGAATATCCCTACAGTAGAAAAGAAGGTGAAAAAGCTCTGAGACTCCCGAGCAAAGTTGTCACAGAACTTTATGCCATGATGGGAATATTCTAGATCTATGACACTGTATAATTTTATGGAACACTTAAAATGTGGCCAGTGTGACTGAGGAACAGAATTCTAATTTATTTAATTATAGTTAATTTAAATTTAAGTAATCAGGGCCGGGGATTTAGCTCAGTGGTTCCACCGCCTGCCTCCTAAGCACAAGGTCCCCAGTTTGATCCCTGGTACCAAAAAACAAAAAGGTAAAATTTAAGTAATCACACATGACTGATAGCTGCCCTATCGAACTGTGCAGCTGAAGAGCCAGACAGACTCATTTCCCCCCACCAACAGGAAGTTAGGAGGAGAGCGTATCGGGGTGGTTTGCCCAGCTCCTTTAGAACAGACACTGGGTCTGAAATCTCTCCAAGAGAATGGGAGGTGGGATGGGATTTGGGGAGGAGTGTCTTCTGCACAAAGAGTCCGTGTACTAGAAGATTCCCGGGCACCCACTCACACCTCTCCTTCCTCTGGGTTTGTGCCCTGACTGTATGGCTAATCCTCTGCCTATGCAATGAGTCTTGTTCTTTGCCCTCTCAGCCCACTCTTTCCCTCTCTACCCATTCTTCTTTTTGCCTTCCAAGTAATGTCCCTGTCTCCCTTCAGCCTTTCAGATGAATTAACTGCAACCACTGCTCCGTTTTCACATGCTTCCTCTGCAAGACTCGCTTCGTTAATCATGGTGCCTCTTCCCTGACCCCATCCAGAGCTAATTCAGAGTCCATCCTTCTTGCTGTTCTGACCCTATTAATTAGACCTTTGCTGCAGCCCCTCTCCTCTGGCTTCTGTGACATCTTTACTACTTAACCCTCTTCTGGCCTCTGTACCTGAGGTTCCCATTTCCTTCACTTGCTCATTTAGTGCCGAGTCCTGAATGTTTGCTAGGAATCTGATCCAAGATCATTTGTCCTCATGCCGGTTGTGGTGGTGCATGCCTGTAATCCCAGTACTTGGAAGACTGAAGCAGAAGGCTCTCCACAAGTTCAAGGCCAGCCTGAGCTATGCATTGAGTTCAGGACCAGCCTGAACTACAGAGCTAAGATCCTGTCTCCAAAAAAAGATCATTTGTCCTCCCTCAATGTTTATGACTTGCTGCCACATTTCCACACATGATTTGTAGATCTAAATCTCTTACTGTGATTCCTCACCAGTAGAAAGGATAGAGATTGTCATAGCTCCACTAGAATATGGGCAAACTAAAGGCCTGGCTGGTATCTTCTGAAATAGAAAGACCCTAAAGGCTAAATAATAATAGTGAGGATCATTGGCTATGACTTAAGTGCTTTTTGTTTTGTTTTTTGGTACCAGAGATCAAACTCGGGTCCTTGTGCTTGCAAGGCTGGCGGCAGAACCACTGAGCTAAATCCCCAACCCTGACTTGAGTGTTTTTTATGTGCCACTGACTGTTCTGAGTATTAACTTCTTTAATATATTAACACATTTAATTCTACAAGAAATTCTAGAAATAATTTAGTATATTCACATGCATAGGCACCCAAGTCCCCACACACACCAATGAACAAAGAAACAAAAAAAGGTTGTAGCATGGCGCTATGCATATTGTGAACACAGACAAGCAGTCCCCTTTGACTGGGTTCCTTTTCAGATTCTGTTCTGTTCTATAACATGTCAGTTACCCTTCTGTATACCTCTTCTTTTTTTGTTTTTTGTTTTTTTTTTCCCGAGACAGGGTCTCACTGTGTAGTTCAGGGTGACCTTGAACTCACTATGTAGCCCAGGCTGGCCTCAAACTCACAGCAGTCCTGCCTCAGCCTCCTGAGTGCTGGGATAACAAGCGTTCACCACCACACCCAGCACTGTATGCTGTTGATCCTCTACCAATATAATGCATGTAACGAATAAAAAATTATGTAACCTACCTTTTCCCTTTTCCCATCCCTAACCCCTGGCAACCACTAACTGTTCTCCATCTTTACAGTTATTTTATAAATAACTACATTAATGGAATCATTCATTGTGTGTCCATTTGAGATTGGCTTTTTTCACTCAGCATAATTTCCTTGAAACCCACTTCAGTGGTTTTCTAAAACTATTTTGTATTGTCTTCCATATATGAGAGTTACTCATTTCACCTGTCTTTGTGATGTCATCTCTCCCTTCTAGAATACCCTTTACTAATCTGTGTTCATTTCCATCATCAGTGTGTCTCACAGCATCTTCCCTTACCAGTTTTGTATGTATCATACCATTTTCTTGTTTTCAGGTAAACAGGTGCCATGCCCAACTTACCTTTATAGTCCCAGTATTTAGTGAGGTGCCTAAAATGTTCTTTTAATTTTTTTTTTTTTTTTTTTTGAGACAGGGTCTCGCCATGTAGTCCAAGCTGGCCTCAAACTCACTATGTAGCCCAGGTTGGCCTCGAACTCGAGGTGATCCTCCTGCCTCCTCCTGAGTGCTGGGATTATAGATGTACACCACCACACCCAGCTCAGGTGCCTAAGATTTAGGAGGTAGTCAGTAGGTAATTTTTGGGTGAATGAGTAATTGAAGTTGCTCTGTTGGGTTCTTACATTGTGTCTCAGCCATGTGTTGCCTTCCTAGCTAAACTCTAAACTGGGTTGTAAACTTCAAAGCAGCACTGCATTCTAGTCACTAGTGTTGAGGCTGCGTTAGATGTGTGTATGTGGCTTCAGTGAGCTTGTGCATTTGTGTGTGTTGGGAGGAAGTGAGGGCATAAGTGTTTATGGGCTGGTTTCCCAGCTTCCCAGCCTGACTTCCTACAGTCAGCAGGATGGACCTGGAGATGTCGGGGCTGAAGACCCTGGAGCATGTAGCAGTGACAGTCTCCATCGCCCACCCTCGCCGCGGCAGCTTGGAACTGAAACTCTTTTGTCCCAGTGGCATGGTGTCCCTTATTGGCACCCCCCGCAGCATGGACTCGTACGTACACCTGCCTGAGGCCTCCTCATCTGTCTTTGCAATAAGGATATTTTGAAGAGGATAGTGGCACTGTCATAAGCAACCATGGCACTGACTGTCCTTGGCAGTTGGAAGCCATTGATCACATGCTTTATTCAAGTGCTTACAGTGTGTTAGGCATTATGCTCTACATACATACATCCTCTAATGGTTGAAGAACCCGCTGGAGTAGACTTTGTGACCTCCTTTGCAAATGAGTAAACAAGTCACAGAGCCTGGTAACTGCTGAGAAAATAAGAGTAAACCTAGATCTGTGGGACTTCAAGCCTATGTCCTCCCCACCTTGGCTTTTCCCCTACATCACATGGGCACAAGTCCCTCATTCCTTGAGATCCCAGGGGTGAGGGACCGCCCTTGGATCCCCTTCTGGCACCTTCCCAGATGGCTGTAGCTCATTTCTGTGGCTGCTGCAGTGAGGAAATAATGTTTCTGGGAAAGGGGTCAGCTCCCTGTGCCGTGCCTTTCATCTCTGTGGCTTTGTTCTTTCCCCAGGGATCCCAGTGGCTTCGATGACTGGACTTTCTCCACTGTGCGGTGCTGGGGGGAAAGAGCAAAAGGCACCTACAGACTGGTTATCAGGGATGTAGGTGAGCCTCCCTGCCCTTTCCCCAGGGCCCTGCCTTGCCTGATTGTCCCTCTGGATCTCAGAGTCCCCACAGAAAATGTCACGTGCAAAATACGTAGGGTTGCCATTAGACAAAGAGGGCAGATGCCAAGGAGTATGCAACTAAAACTGGGCATTAATCCCTAAAACTGACTATTTATACCACCTCTATTCCTTGGAAAAGTGATTGACCAAGTCCTTTCACATGTAGCCATTCTTCAGCCAGCTCTGGTAGGCAGGTAAGGGCAGGACTAATTTTCACCTTTTTTTTAAATTAAGGCCAGAGGTTTGAAGTGACCTGTATAAGGTCCCAATAACAGTGACCTGAATATCTGAAAGACCAGTGAAGAGACTGGAAATTACACCTGTCCCCCTTCCCCCCCAGTTCTAGTCAAGCTAGGTATTCGCCAGACCAACTAATGGTTTTCAAACCTTTACTTTGGTAGAAAAACATTTTTCTTTCAAGAAAATTCCAGCTGAAATCCCAAAATACAGAGGATAAAGGCACAACTCTGCTTTGACTTCAGCCTTTCAAGCTTTCTGTCCTGTGCCCAAGCACCCTGTAAAGCACTTCTGCAGAACCCGAGGGTCTCAGTTGGACAGCCCCTAACTACACTCCACTGTGTGGTCTGAGTGCCTTGAGTGGCTGGGCTTCTGTGGGTGGCATGGCCAACAGAGGGGATGGCTCACAGGCTGCCCACTGCTGCTCTAGGTGATGAGCCACCCCAGTTGGGCATCCTCCAGCAGTGGCAGCTGACCTTGTATGGCTCCATGTGGAGTCCAGTGGACATTAGGGAAAGACAAAGGTAGGTACAGCCCCATGTGTCAGAGGGAGGGCAGCCTGTGATGGGGTGGGAGAAGAAGCCAACCTGGGAGCCATTCCCCTTCCAAACCCATCTGTACCTCCAGCTCCTGACCCCAGCTGAAGACACAGCCAGGGGCTGGAAGCCAGAGTGCACTCCTGCCCTCAGCCCTGGGCTCCCTCTACTCCCTCCAGTGGCAAGGCAGGAGGATTATGGGGGCAGGTGGTAGAGCAACCATGTTCAGTAAGGTATCCTCTGCCCTTTGCTTCTCTGCAGGCTGTTAGAAAGTGCCATGAGTGGGAAATACCTGCATGATGGCTTCTCTCTGCCCTGCCCACCTGGACTGGAGATTCCTGAGGAAGATGGTTATACCATCACCCCTAATACCCTGAAGGTACTAGCACCAAGACTCAAACTACATAGGACTGTCGGGGGGCATTGGTCCTTGGTGCTACCCTGGGGAATGAGGGGTTGGGAAGACCTAGATCCCCACAATGTTTGGGGTTTTTTTCTTAAATTCTTTCATTGGTACATTTTAAGTACACAGTACGTTTACATTTATCATTGGGTGCTTGTACCTGAACATGATGTATCTTGGTTCCTATTTTTTCCCATTACCTGGGGACCCTTCACCCCCTCCACCCTTCCCTATTTACATACTTGGTTTCCATTTTTTTTCTTTTCTCATAATTTTTCCTTTCCCTTCTTTCCTTTCCCCTTCCCCTCCTACCCCTACCCCTTTGGACCTTTTCTTCCTATTTCAAATTATCAATTATTCATTTTAATCATTTTAATCCTTATTTACACTTTCAGTTTCT